TTGAGGATTTCATGTTCCATTCCAACTGAGAAAATTTGATTATGGATGGTTTTAGACGATACCAAGGAATTTCTGTGATTTTTGTTAGAGAATAATGGCATATGGGTTATACAAGAAAGTGTGTTTTTCAAGGACGCATATCAGCTAGGTAGGAATGCAATGACGGTATATCCAAGACTTCTTTTAAAATATTCATCAAAGTAAATAAAAAATTTTTTAAGGAATATGTGAAATAAATGAGGCAAAATCTTGGTCATTGTTAAGTCTGGAAAAAAATGAGACTATGGTGGTCAAGTTACTTTTCTTCTATTTCTGTGTATATTAGGGATATTAATATATGAGAGCTCAGTTAATGTAGTAGCCACCCAAGATTCCTGTAAGACCACACAAAAGGTACAATACATACAGGGTAGAATAATTACTGACATAAAAGGCCCTTTAATTTGAGGCGAGAGAATGACTTACCCTTTGCAAGTCCCTGAATTATTAGAAGAAAAATAAATCAGAGCATGTGAAAAATTGACATCTTCATTAATCAGAAGATTTTTTAAAAAATATTTTTCTGAGATACACAAACAAGATTTAATTCAATACAGAATAAACTAGAATTAGTGGGTGAGGAGCAAAGCACAGTGAGACATGGCATTGTTTCTGATCTCTCTTTGGAAGTATAAAAGCACTTCGAGATTTGCTCAATCTTAACATGAAGGCAATATTCATTTCCTGGTGTTCTTGTCCCATGTACTGCAAACTATACACAAGCGTTCATTATTAATAATGCTAAGAAATTTTATTCGAGGATATAACCAATGATTTGACAGATTTTTCATACCAATTTTACCAAGAGAGGAACTCCAGGTCCTTCGATGAATATTAACAAAGGCATCTGTCATCCCTGCTCTTCTTGCATTATGTGCAGAGTTGTAACTAACAACATATATAACAACAGACTCTGTTTATTACTTGTACTGCTCTATAGCTCTTGCTTTCTTTGGAAAAAGTATACCCCTTTATAAAAAGAAAGTCACAGCCTCAAGAAATCCAGATTTGAGGAAATTGGGTTCTTGCTGTGCAACTATAAGCCACATAGCATTTTTTAAACTCAACTTACACATCTGTTAAAAAAAAAAAAAAAGAGCATTAGAATAGATGGCATCACAATTGCTGCCAGCTCAAACAGTCCATGATATGGTTTTTCATAGCTCTTTTTTTTTTTTTTTTTCAATCTTTGAAATCTTCGGAGGCTTTATTCTGAATTAGTTACACTACATAGGACTGGGAAGCAATTAACTAAAGCTATTACACAAACCGTGTCCAGACACAAACATTACCTAGGGATTGGGCCAGCCCCACAGTGTAGTGCTTTAATTCTAGGCATGGACACCCAGATCCCGCATGGCCCACAGTGTTCAAATTCTGGTTCCAGCGGCTTGAAAAACATGCCAAGTACATGTGAGTGTATGTCCTACATCCTCACAGAATGGAGAAATGGCAGAGAAGGGATTGCATGGTGACCAGGCCCCACTGGGGGTTGCTTTCTCTCTCTCTCTCTTTCTCTCTCTCTCTCTCTCTCCCCCTCCCTCTTTTCTCTCTCTAATGAGCATACACACTCTCTGGCAATAAAAATAATTACCAAGAAATCATCAAACTCAGGACAAGAATGATTGTGCTGCAAGGCCCAAAGATCTCTTATTCTTTCTTTCTCTTCAAATAGTATCAGGTCGTCAGAAAAGTCATGACATAATTTTCTACGCAAAAATGCGTGATGACTTTTCCGACAATCCAATAGATGTTTAGGTATTGAAAAGAGATGATGTGATAGTTTCCTAATACATTTCAATCAGAAATGAGGAAAAAAGAGATTAAATTCATAGTGTAATTCACTTTAAATGTAAGTAATTTTTCTGGACCATGTATATAATGGAAAGTGCACTTCGAATGTGCTTTATTGGCAAACACAAAGAAATATGCCAAGGAAGTAGATCTGGTCACCATTATAAAAAGAAGGAGAGAGCATAAAGAATATTTCTCTCATGCCACCTCTCATTTTAAAATAATGATACGGAAAGCCTAGAGTATCGTATACTTCAGGACATTTTACTTGTAAGAAGAGATAAAGCATATCCTATTTGTGGCTTCAATGCACTTTACCATTCATGCATTATGTAGACATTTCAAACTGTAAAAAAATATGTATCTATGGCCTGCAAAATGACTTTTTAACTCTGTCTTTGAAAGACCAGATGAAATTTAACATTTCTAGGCTGGATTCTCTCAAACTTTCTAATCATTTATTCACATGTAATAAATACAGTTCTTTACTTTTTCTATGGAGAGAAAATAATTGCTAAAATGATAGGAATTGTTAAACAAAACCAGTGAAAGAGATTATTAAAAAAGAGAGCGAGAGACATCTTCTCCTATAATGTTTCACCCACAAATAATATTCAGTGGAACCTATCACATACACATATGCTATCTGAACTGAAGGTTAGAGATAATTGGGCCAGAAATACCATCCTGTAAAAGGATAATGTGTGTCAAAAAGATACTGAGCTTGGGGAAATTACCGACTTAGAATTATCTATTCTCCAAGCCTCTCTCATTCCAAAGAGCTGAACATGTAAAAGGGAATAAAAACAAATGATCAGCTTTAAAAGCAAAATTTGGGTGCAGAAAAATGAAACTAAAAAGAATCTCCTTCTTCCCCAACTTTGGGTTATGTTTCTCTTTAGAAACCCCATTTCGTGGGTCAAAGAAGAGATCAGTAATCTAAATCCTTTTAAGGTAAAAAGCCCCTTGGGATCGCTCCCCAGGAATCAGGTCACAACTGAATGTGCGGGTACAGCGCTCTCTGAGAAGATCACTACAGACACAGGACACAGGGCCCAGGCAGGAAATCTGCTGGTATCAATCTATTTTCCATTTTGCTTATCTAGTGGCCTTAGTACTTAAGAAGGTAAAACAAAATGCAGCAGAGCCTCAATAATAGGAAAACTGTCTATTAAGTACCCCCGAATGACTATTACATCATCATCGTCAGACATTTTGTCTTCTCACTCAGGGTCACAAGGGCAATCCAGAATCAATTCTTTCCATTACTAGAGCACAGTCAAATCTATCATCCCTATTCTCATTTTCTATCTTAACCTGCAAAGCCAAACTCTCAAAGAGCATAGACATGTTTCCCCAGGATCTATCTTTAAACCTCACCCTGATAACAAAGCTCTCAAGAGAGTCACCCTTTTGTCTATCCTCCCAACCACAGTCATAGCCCTCCCTGCTCACTTAAGGGCGCACATTCCCTATCAAAGATGTCAATTCAGAACATACCTATATTCTAGAATATTTATTCCCATTGTCTCTAATCCTTGCACAAAAAAGTAATGAACCAATTAGACTTCAAAGTCTTCCCCACCCCAAAAAGTAGATTCCCATCAAAACATATTTCCAGGGCCAGCAGGTGACATTGTGGATAAAGTGCTGGACTCCCATGTGGCTGGCCACAGTTTGAATCCCAGATCCAGTAGCTTGAAAATCATGTCAGGTACTTATGCATGCATGCCTAGAATCCCAGGAGAATTAGAGAAGGGATTGCAGTGTGGCCATCCCCCTGTGGGGTGACTTCTTAGTTTTCCCTCTCACTGTCTCTCTCTCTCTGTCTCTCTCCAGTTAGTGCACACGCCCTATGGCAAAAACCTAGAGAAACAGAACGGAAAAGCACATTTCTTACAGTCACTATTACTGTTGTAGAAGATCAAGAATTCACTTACTTCCTAGGGTATTTCTTCCGTTCCCAGAAGTATAAACACACATCATTAAGCCCATCAGAGGTAATAAAGGTGCAGAAAAAAAGAGAACACTCGATAGGGAAAATTACAAACTGCCTTTTTCTCTCTGTTTACTTTGCCCATCCTCACTGCAAGTATCGTACTATTTAGATTTGTTCCTTTTACCTTTGTAAGAGCAAGATGCATTTTGTCTAATGAAGCTTCTTTTCACTTTGCTGGTACAAAACTGGGGAATAGTGTATGACAAGAGATGAATTATTTTAGGACACACTGATTTTTTTTTCCTCAAAATGTACAATTGTGATGTATCTCCTCTTATTTCTGAGTCCTTAAAATCTAATTTGCATGAGTTGGTCTCAAGCAAGAAACTTGAAAAGAAAGAAAATCATAAAATTAATGTTGATGATCTAGCTCCACAGTGCAGTGGTTAAGGCCTGGGAATACAGAGTCAGATCCCACATGGCTGACCATGGTTCAAATTCTATCCACAGGTGCTCAAAAATCATGTTAGGTACATGTGTCAGAATACCCCAAATCCTGACAGGAATGAAGACATGGAGGAAAAAAACTTGTGGCATGACCACACCCCATTGGGGAACTCTCTCTCTCTCTCTCTCTCTCTCTCTCTAGCAAGAGTCTGTTCCCACTTGCAATATATTTTTTTAATTAAAAACAAATTAATGTCCATCTCATAATTAGCACTTACAAGTCATCTGCCCTCTACCGTCAGAGTCCAAAACCAAGAAGACATGCCAGGTCTACACTTCAGTTACATTTTGCCAGATTCACCATACCACTTTTCTTTAGTTAATGAAGTTGGCTTGAGTTGAAAAGTGAAAGATTCAAGAAGTTACTAAAGGAACCTGTCAATCCCCACATCTTACTCTACTATCAGTGCCCAGCTCTCCTCCAATTTCTGACTTTAAATTCATCATCTATTCTCACCTGTAATCTCATCTACAGGTGAATGAAAGCTTCCAGAAACTACACTTTACATACATTCTCTCTTTTGACCCATACTGAGTCCCCAGAGGTAAGTTATAACACCCCCATTATAGAGCTAAGAAAACCGAGTTCCTAAATAGGAAAATAATGACAAAGAAATGTCAGTAGAGTTATTTTACGTAGACCATGCTAATCCTTTTTAATATCATAAATTACTGAAAATTTTAAAGACTGTATGGGTTTAGAAAATTTAGAAATGCATACCTGCTTTTTCTTTAGATTTGCTTTGGGAAATAGGCCTGCTGACAACACAGATGTAAACGGAGAACAGCATAGCTCAGGAAAAGGGTTTGGAATAGATGGCATTTCCAGAACATCAAGATCTTTCTTTTTTCTCCTACACCAAGAGAACATAGGATGTAATTTACATAAAGCAGAATATAAAACATAATTGCTGTCAGAATTAAAAAGTGCATTAAGGCCAACATGAACCTCTCTGACAATACTAATACTATACAAAGCGTGCAGGAAAGGTCTATGATATACTTTCTGTGAGTCAAAATATGTTAATTAATACAAATAAGTCCCCCATAGGATTCCATTTTGTATGTATTTCTTTTTTGCCTTTAAAAAAATTATCGGACATGAAAACTCCATTTCTAGCACTTTTGACAATATTCCTAAAGCAGAAATAAGGACTGTACAATTCTTAACATAAAAATCATCCTGAAAAATTAGATATTGTTATGCATCAATTAAATTGGCTAAGTGTCCAAGTTACCTTTAGTGAAGTCACCCTATGATATTTTACTAATCACTTTTGGAAGTTATGATTTATTAATTATAGCTGTGATTTATCTCACTTCAAATTTCATTCACAATGTTGCCCACACAAAGTCTGTTGATTTTTCAAGTGCTTATAGATACTAAACAGCAAGGCAGTGTTTTTCGAGAAGGTAAGTTAATAGAACTTGCTCGTATAAATGTACTCTAGTCCACAGGAGAGTAATTTTAACTTCACTGAAGTTGGAGTACTTTGAAAAAAAAAAAAAGTACATTTAAATGTGTGACTTTAAAGGACTACAAATTGTTGTGTTGTAGCCCTTTTTCTTCCCTAAAGTGTGTGCAACTCTAAAGGCACTTAGTGCTGAAAGCTGTGGAGATTGGGAAACCTTTTAAAGCCTCTATTCTTTCCTGCT